CACATTCCTTTGTGTACCAGTTATCCCTAAACCCTTAAAAGCCTTATTACCTTTTGTTTTACTTATTTGGAAATAGGACACTTGTACCAGTCACACTTGTAGACATTTCAAATAATACTAAGCATATGTATAGAACTGTATGATAGTTGTTCAAATAAAAACCATATAGATCCTTATGTGAGTTTAGGTGATCTCTGCAAGAGTGGGGGATGCGGGGAAGAAGTGTTTTTGTGAGATGTTCAAATGTTAATTTGCATCAAGGTCCTTCCTCTCATAGACCAGTGGTGAGGTCTCAACCAGCTTTTCCAGTCTTACAAAAGTATTGATTTCCTTCTCAGAAAAAACAAACAAAAAACTTTTGTATGGTAATATTGTGTCTACTGTCTTTTACAGAGACTGCTGGGTCTTTCAGTTTAGTCTTACCCTCCCTTAAACAATAACATGTAATATTAAGAAAAAACTGTGGTTGGTCAGACTTCTTCTTTCTAAGTGGACAGTTCTTCACTACAATAAACTAGTTAGTGAGGCTCATATAGTCTATAAGTTCAGCCAACTTTAACACAGATATTGCTTGTTTGTAATCTTACATGTGCTTACATGCATAACTTAAACTATCAGGAATGGATAGACCTATTGGGTCAATTCATTAAATAGTGGAGTGAATTCTGTTTTGTAATGATGTTATATTGTTTGGCTGTGACCTGTTGTAAAGCAGTGCTGTTAGTGCTTTAAAGCGCAGTCTTGGCCATGGCGTTATATTTTGGATCATGTTCTGTTGATCTCAGTGCAAGGTGTCATGCCAGAAAAAAATACCTGCTAAATTTAGTACAACTGTAAAGAAGCTTATCCTTTTATGCAAAGGTGTTTTAGGGTTAAGTGTTTGTTTATGTTCGTGCATGAGCATTACAGTGGGCAGTTCACTTCTGCAGTGCTTTGCAGAATCGCCATTATGGGAGGGGACATTTAATAAAGGATACTGTAACATTTACATATCACTCATTATACATGAATATATAGGTTCTCTTCTCTTTGTGTGTGTGTGCATGTACATGCTAGAAAGAGTATTATTATATTAGTGTAAACTACAGTATGGTATTCTATATACTAGTATTATATGGTCATAATGTTTGTTAAACTCTCTGAACCTAAACTTTATTACAGAAAACTTTCTGCATTTATATATTTTCATTAAGATATTATTTAGTATTTTTATAATTATCAGATCATTATCCCCGTTAGGACAATTGGCTTTTTTATTTTATTTTATTCTAATTGGCTGTTTATTTATTTTTTATTTAGATAAAATGATTTGATAAAGATACTTAATGTCGTAATGATGACATACAAATCCAGAAGGTTTCTGGTGAGGTATAAGGTTCAAAGAGGTATATTTAATTTTGTGTGAGTTCTCCACTATTGCTATCAGTATCACCCTCACCTGAAAGAGGTGAGGTAAAGGCTATGTTTAGTTCAGTTCAAGTAAAACTTAAAAAAATAAGTTTAAATTAAAAAAATAATAATTTACAAATATTCCATAAAATAAAACTACCATTCTCAATTTTAAATGTAATAAAATTTGTGGTGACTTTAAGTGCTTTTTTCACCAAGGTCTACTTACAATAGGTACTTACATTTTGTGTGTGTGTGTGTGTGTGTGTGTGTGTGTGTGTGTGTGTAGAAGACTAATAATAGCAATCAGAGTTTAAGGGAGACCTGGGAAAACGTCTCAGGTTACGCATGTAACCATGGTTCCCTGAGAATAGGGAATGAGACGCTGCGTCCCCTTGGGATCACTATGGGGGAATGCCTTGGGCGTGATTGGTGTCTGAAGTGGAAATCTAAACGCGACAATGAACTTGACATTGGCAGGCGGCAGCCAATGACGTCACTACAGGTGAGACCGAGAGTATAAAAGGGCACCTGTGCAATACGTCATCCACTTCTTGTCTGAAGGAGACGTGTGCAGGAAGGCCAGAAGCATGGCAAAGGGACGCAGAGTCTCGTTCCCTATTCTCAGGGAACCATAGTTACATACGTAACCTTGACACCGTAAGCCGAGTCTGACGCCATGTTCTAACCAGCCTCTGTGCCGAACCGTCAGTAGGGCAGATGATTAATGCTCTACAAAAACACATCATGGTTTCAGCTTCAGGGGCAGTTGTAACGCGCATCAGAGTCCCACTTGACCTCAGTCAGGGAATGGAAGGGGGAGGGTTGAAGGAGGTTTATGTTAGTTAGCCTCTGGAGCCCCAGAACGCAGCTCAGGGCGCTTGTTCTGGACCACTTCCCTGATGTTACCTCGCCTCTTTCTAAACTCACGCCTCCTCCGTGCTCTACCCCTCGAGGGAGGGGGAGCACGAGAGGCGGCGCTCGCTTTCTGGTCTCGTCTCCGATCTTCAGACCGGGATGAGCCAGCCCCCTTCGTGGCTTGAAGCGTGGGCCTGGACTGGTGCGGCATGAATGACTTTAGAGCCACGGAGCGCGCCTTCATTTCCCGAAACTTCCCGACCACCGTCTCAATAGATGTGCCAAAAAGCTCGGAAGGCGAAACCGCCGCATCGAGGGGGAGTGATTTCTCCCTCTCCCCGATGTCAGCCAGGTTCCCCCAGAGATGTCTCTCCGTCGCTACCATGGCTGCCATAGATCGACCGATCGACGCTGCAGACTATTTGGTGGCGCAGAAAGCCAAATCTGCAGTGCGGCGCAGCTCCTCTACCGCTTTAGGGGGGAGCCCCTGGCCCTGGTCCAGGTCCTTCAGCAGGTCAGCCTGATAGGCTTGCAACACAGCCATAGTGTACAAAGCCGCCTCAGGCTGAGTGGGCAGAGACGGAGTCTTCAATGCGGAGACCTTGCCAATCAAGAGATAGTTGGCCAAGGTCTCTTCGATCGGGGGCATCGAGTCATATCCATATTCCTGCATCCCCTCCATATCAGCATAATTTGCCTGTGAATGATGGATGCGTGCAGAATATGTTTTTTTCCAAGATCTCCGTACCTCAGTGTGAAGATCTGGGAAAAAAGCAAGATAATGCCACTGGTGGATTATGCCCAGAGAAAAAAACGTCATTGCGGCTGCCGTGCGAGGTTGCACGCTTCTCGCGTTTCCACGGCAGATCTAACCTTTCCGTGGCGCGGGACATAACGTCCAACAACTCGTCATATGCGAGGCGGGCAGGCTGAGAGCACTCAGAAACATCGTCGACATCAGCCTCATTCTGCACAGCTTGGCATGGGCCGAGGGACGTGCTCACTGCTGAATCAGATGCTGCGAGAGAGATCGCGTCAACATCCCGCAGCTCGCTCTCGTTAGCCGCTGAGAAGCAAGAGATATTCAAACCCCTGTGAGCCCCAAAATCTGCAAGCCCCACGACTTCAGTTTCCTGCCCGCTTTGGCTGCAGCAGGTCCTGAACCACAGGGCACAGATCGCTGTCCCGATTCCCTAGAGAAAAGGACGCATACAGCCCCCTCAAAGACTGAGTGTGCACCCTCCTCACTCATACACATAACGCACATATCGTGTGTGTCATCAGGTGTCAGAAAACACTGACACGGGTTAACAAACATTCTAAAATTCGCAGTGCTAGTGCTGGCCATATTATAAACTTGCCTGTTCAGATCGCACGTTCAAACACACAGTCTCCTGAAGACAATAAGAGGATGACGTATTACACAGGTGCCCTTTTTTTCTCTGTCTCACCTGTAGTGACGTCATGGGCTGCCGCCTGCCAATGTCACGTTCATTGTCGTGTTTAGATTTCCACTTCAGACACCGGTCACGCCTGAGCCATTCCCCTATAGCGACCCCAAGGGGACGCAGCGCGAGTTCCCTTTCGAAAGAGAATCAGTTGCTGCTGTAAGTGGTGTTAATGTGGCCAGCAGGGGGGGCTCACCCTGTGGTCTGTGTGGGTCCTAATGCCCCAGTATAGTGATGGGGAAACTATACTGTCAAAAAAGCACCTCCTTTGGATAAGATGTTAAACCGATGTCCTGGCTCTCTGTGGTCATTAAAAATCTTTGAAAAAGACTAGGGGTGTAACCATAGCATCCTGACCAAATTTGCCCATTGGCCTCGGTATATCATCATCACCTCCTAATCATTCCCATATATACACTGATTGGCTTCATCATTCTCTCCTCTCCACCAATAAGCTGGTGTGTGTTTTGGCGCAGTATAGCTGCTGTCACAACATCCAGGATGCTTCACATTGGTGGTGGTTTAGGAGATTCCCCCCTTCCATATAAAGCTCTTTTAGTGCAGAGAAAAGTGTGCTATATAAATGTAACAACAAATTATTATAACCTAATACTTGAGCATACACACACACACACACACACACACACACACACACACACACACACACACACACACACACACACACACACACACACACACACACACACACACACACACACACACACACACACACACACACACACACATATTACAAAGAAATGTAGGCTGTACAGATGGTATTTGACATGTGACATGTGCCAGTGCCAGTTAACACTGACAAGACTTTGCCACTGCACTGTTAACATAGCATTTATCTGACACCTGCAGTGCTTTATGCAGGTCTGTGATATTACTCTGTGTCAAGTAACATTAATCTAATCTGTTGTTTTAGCATAGTGGTGCATGACCCAGTATTTGTAACTACTGTGTGATTCTAATAGCACGTGTATGGCCTACTTCTATAACCCCTTTACCTAAACATTAATGCCCTTTCAACAGGCTGAACTAATAGCAACAGATCAATTAAAGAACACATATCTACTTGTTTCTCAGAATTAAACTTTCAACAGCAAACATTTTACTAAATCTTACTTGCTTTCTCACAAAGGTGTTACACCTGTGAAAGTAATATGCACAGGGCAGCAGGACTTTCTTTGTGCTTTGAAACAATCCAACTCCATGGAAATTTAAGTTTTTGAAGGTTTCTTGAATTTCCAGTTAGTAACCATCACATTTTATTTTGTTCTGCTAAATTTGTTGTTACAGATCTCATTGTTAAGATGGTCCAGCAGAACATGGGAGGAATCAAAGGGGATGATTACAAGAAGGTGTGTGTTTGGTTCCGCTAATTATTTATGTGCTTATATAATGGCCACACTGTATAGGCCTATAATACAATAAAAAACATAACATATTGTATATAATAGATTTTATGGGAGCACATGTTCCAAGTTCCTTTTTTCTTTCTCTTCGCCATGCACACTAATGATGTCTCTTCAACTCTACGGCAATGCAGCCAGAGAATGTTGTATTACTACTACAGGTACTGTTTAAAAATGACAATTCTAGTGACTTGTTCATGTCCAAGTTCATGTCAAGTTACTGATATGTATAAAGAAATATATAATGTCTCCTCTCCTCTCCAGGCTATCTACTATGAGCTCGGCTTCATAGTCCTGACAGTACTGGGAGTGTTGTTTGTGCTGTTCATGCCGATAGTGGGTCTGTGTTTCTGTGTGTGCCGATGCTGTGAGAACTGTGGGGGTGAGATGCATCAGAGACAGAAGAAGAACGGTGACTGCTTACGAGGCTTCTACATGGCCACGCTCATCGCTACCTCTGTCTTCCTCGCGTGAGTCTTCCTCACCTTCAAAGAGTGTTTGTGACTCTTTTTTAACTATTCCACATGCTTCTAAAAGTGACTTGTTAACACTTTATTTTAGTGCCATTGTTACATACTGTATGTTGCATGTAGTTACTATAGTAATAACTATAGTATAAATTATGCATAGTTACATGCAACTAACCCTAAACCAAACCGAATCCTAATCCTAACGCTATAGTAAGTACATGTTAATATTACTCAGTACTTAAATGTAGAATTACAGTGTAACAAAGACACCATATAATAAAGTGTAACTGTGACTTGTTATGCATAATGTTATAATGAAAGTGTCTAGTTTTGAATTTGAACAAATTATATATTGGTCTTTTTGAGATAATTAGCACAGTCCAATAATCAGTGCCAGTTAACAGTAGTGGTACTTCCCCTTGTGTCAGTTGGACAACAGCTTCTATCTCAAGTGCAGCTTCTATCTCTTTGAATGGGGAAACATCAAATTCTACAAAGCTGTGTAGAAATCTGACAACAGCTGTCTAATAAATTTTGTTTCTAAATGCTCAAATAATGACAAAAAAAAGTTTTTTTCTGGCTGGAATGCACATATGTAGTCATAAACACACGTCTCAGAACACATGGGGCCCAATTTTAACGATCTGAAACGCAAGTGTCAAAGCGCAAAGCGCAAGTAACTTTGTGGGCGGATCCCGGCGCTGTTGCTATTTTCCCGGCGGGATAAATGCCTCTTGCGCCTGGCGCAAATCTAAAAGGGGTTGGTCTGAAGTAGCTTCATTATTCATAGGTGTGGTTTTGGCGTAACGTGAAATAAACCAATCAGAGCGTCGTCCAACATACCCTTTAAGAGCAGGTGCGCATGTTGCATGGCGGATTGCTATTATAACGGCAGATTTACCATGCGCGCGTCAGGAGCGGTTCACAGTCGAGGACACCGACGTTCTTGTCAGGCCCGTGAAAGACAGAGAAGTGACATTGTATGGGGATGGGAGAAACCCACCCAAATCAGCGTCGGTTAAACAGGCGTAAAAAAAAAAAAAAAAAAATTTTACATCTTCATGGACACCACAATGATTTCCCTCATGTGTTAATATTTTTCCTTGTTATAATGTATGATTTGCAAAAATAAAAACGGCTGCATCTGTGTTGTTGAGAGAATCAAAGTGTATGCGCGTTGTGCACCCGCTACATTATGGCCAAGCAATGGCCAAGCATGCGCGCTTAAAATAGCATTATGAACAACGCGCAAAGCGCCACTGACTTTAGACGAGGTTTTTTCTGGTCAGTGGCGCAATTGTTTTCTGGAACTGCAAAATAGCACTAGGGAATGTTTGCGCCGAAACACGCCTCCTTTTTGCGCCGACCCGCCCAGGTAGCGCAAGTTCATTTCCTAGTTTACCGACGTGCGTCTGTGGAGGGAAAAGCCCGCTTTGCGCGGGTGCAAAATAGGAATGATACATGCGTCAGTGTACAAAGTCATTTGCGCCGAGTGCAAGATAGGGCCCATGATGTTTTATTAACAAAGTTCGGGAGGAGCATGTTCAGATAATTAAACCTAATTAAACACATGTGGAGCACATTCAGATAATCAAACCTAATTAGACACGTTAATCAACACAATCAATGAGTTAAGCGGTGTATATATACAGCAAACTTACCTCCGTTCGTGGACAGTTTAACAGCATCCCTCCACCACCCCATCTCCTCACTTCTAGTCCTAATTCTCTTACAACAACGAGGGGAGTACTCTAGGTTCGGGCAAAAATTCCGAGCTCGGACCCCTCCCCCCGGACAGCACGCCAAATACGCATAATCTTCACTCTGTTTAATTGATGTAAGTGTGAACTCGTGAATGAGTATCTCTATAGAAACCGTACCTTCTAATGGCAGCTGCAGTGGCGCTATGACTTTATTAATTGGGGATTGGCTTTTTTACTTAGAAGGCAGGACTTATTCCACCATATTGCGCATTGCACTTTCTCCCATTCATAGTAATACGAGTGTCTTTGCATATCTAAAGTCTTTGATATTATGTATTTTTCCCAGTAGAATACCATTCTTCAGTTAATGGGTTATCGCAATTTATTCATTTTTTTATTTTTTTATTTAGTTCTAATCCAGAGCTAAAAGAATTAAATATACATCTCAGTATATTATGTATAAATGTGTGTGTTCCTTTAAGAACGTTCGTTCCTATGTCAAGTTTGACTGGGATGTACATGTGAAAACGTGGCATTAACCATCAAGTTAGGTGTTTGATTATTTTATTGGTTTATGTGAATTAAGTCCCGCCCTCACTGGTGTTTTGTGTAATGTGAGTGGTTGTTCGGGAGATGAGAGTTTTTGTTTGACAAGTGTGGGGGGAGAGTGAAAGACACGAAAATGAGAGAGACGAGAGAAGACATTGACAAGTGCGGCCGATTCGGAAAGAGACTGAGAGATTGCGATTGCCCATACGGACAGTGTTTCAAGTTATTCGAACGGTAACTGGTGACAGACTCCAAGACTGAAGTCACTCACTTTAGGTGTTGTTTGTTGATTTTTGTGAGGACAACATAGTGCTCCGTTTTAACGGAAGAATCGGGAGTTTGCCGGCCGCGACAGGAGTCGTGTGTGTGTGTGTGTGTGTGGGCCCACAGTGTTTTGTTTATTATTCATATGTTGTTATTCAGTGAACTTAAAAACTGTGATTTTTGTCCTTTTCATCTTTAGTGATTTTGAATTATTCACATACTGGCACTTTGTTTATGAACAACTTTAACTCTTTTTATTTTATACAAATTAAATTCTTTACATTTTGTTACTTTCAAAGAGTTTTATTCTTTCAAAAAGAGTTTATACCAGACCGTTTAAGAAATGATTATAGAGTGATTCTTTTAACTCAAAAGTTAAGTGTAATTGATGATATTGCTCCTGTGAAAGTCAGGAAGAATAGTGGTAGACAAAAAGCACCTTGGAGAAACTCAACAGCTGTGCAAAATATGAAAAGATAATGCAGAAGAGCAGAGCGCATGTGGCGGAAGACAACACTTGTAGTCCATTATAACATCTACAAAGACAGCATCCATGCTTTTAATATTGAACTAGGCAAAGCTAGACAGACTTTCTTCTCGAATATTATAAACAGAAACTTAAACAACACACGCACTCTTTTTGCTACTGTAGAGAGACTGACAAACCCCCCAAGCCAGATTCCCAGTGAAATGCTCTCAGACAGCAAGTGCAGTGAGTTTGCTTCTTTCTTCTCTGAGAAAATCAATAATATCAGAAAGGTGATCAGCATATCCTTGAGTTGCTCTGGGGTCAGACAGATCAGACCACAACCTGAGAAAGTAGTTACTATGTCTGTTTTCGAAGAAATTGAAGGCACAATTTTGGAAGAAACCGTACAGCACCTTAAAACATCAACCTGCGCCCTTGACGCACTTCCCACATCTTTTTTTAAAACTGTGTTAAACAGCTTATAAGCAGATCTCTTAGAAGTGGTAAATGCCTCACTTCTCTCTGGGAGTTTTCCAAAGCAGTTGTCAAGCCCCTCCTGAAAAAGAGCAATCTGGAGCAATCTAAGCAACTATAGACCGATCTCAAATCTTCCTTTCATAGGCAAGATCATTGAAAAAGTTGTCTTCAATCAGCTGAACAAATTCTTAAGCTCGAATGGATACTTTGACAATTTTCAATCTGGTTTCCGATCGCATCACAGCACAGAGACAGCGCTCATAAAGATAATAAACGATATTCGCCTAAATACTGATACAGGGAAATTATCAGTACTGGTACTACTCGACCTCAGTGCTGCATTTGACACTGTCGATCACGACATACTTCTTGAGAGGCTGGAAAGCTGGGTGGGGCTTTCTGGGATAGTCCTAAAATGGTTCAGGTCATACTTAGAAGGGAGAGGTTATTATGTGAGTATAGGAGACCATGAGTGGACATCCATGACATGCGGAGTCCCCCAAGGCTCAGTTCTTGCACCACTCCTATTCAACCTGTATATGCTCCCAATGAGCCAAATAATGAGAAAGAACAAAATTGCTTACCACAGCTATGCAGACGACACACAGCTCTACTTAGCCCTATCGCCTAACGACTACAGCCCCATTGACTCCCTGTGCCAATGCATTGATGAAGGAAACAGATGGATGTGCCAAAACTTTCTTCAGTTAAACAAAGACAAAACTGAAGTCATTGCGTTTGGAAACAAAGATGAAGTTCTCAAGGTGAACGCATACCTTGACGCTAGCCTAGGGGTCTAACAACTAAAAATCAAGTCAGGAATCTTGGTGTGTCTCTAGAGTCAGACCTTAGTTTCAGTAGTCATGTCAAAGCAATAACTAAATCAGCATACTATCATCTGAAAAATATTGCAAGAATTAGATGCTTTGTTTCCAATCAAGACTTAGAGAAACTTGTTCATGCTTTTATCACCAGCAGGGTGGATTATTGTAATGGACTCCTCACTGGCCTTCCCAAAAAGACCATAAGACAGTTGCAGCTCATACAGAACTCTGCTGCCAGGATTCTGAGCAGGATCAGAAAATATGAACATATCACACCAGTCCTAGGTCTTTACGCTGGCTCCCAGTTACATTTAGGATTGACTTTAAAGTATTATTACTGGTATATAAATCATTCAATGGGTTAGGACCTCAATATATTGCAGATATGCTCACTGAATATAAACCTAACAGATCACTCAGATCATTAGGATCACATCAGCTAGAAATACCAAGGATTCACTCTAAGCATGGAGAGTCTGCTTTTAGCTATTATGCCAGCTGCAGCTGGAACCAGCTTCCAGACGAGATCAGATGTGCTCCTACAGTAGTCACATTCAAATCCAGACTCAAAACACATCTGTTTAGCTATGCATTTACTGAATGAGCACTGTGCCACTGTTCGTCCGACTGTTTTTACTGTACTGGTTTTGTCTTTGTTTTATTTTTTGTCTTTTTTTTTTTTTATAATCTCTGGAAGAGATTTTGAAGGAGAGC